AATTGTTACAAAGGTCTCATCATAACACTACTACAAGGATAGGAGAACTTTAGAATTTTTAGTAATATAACATTTTATACAAAAAATATGCATTGTAGTCTAATTATGCTTGATTTAATTGGCTTGCTTTTGCAACTGGCTTTAGTCATCAATATTTGATTTATATACTGGCTATGTGATCATAACGAGCTTTAGAGCAGTTAATCCATTCATTTTTATTTCTGTCATTCTCTCTCTGGTGCTCTCTTTCTCTCCCTATCTTTCTCTCTCTCTCTCAGTAATAAAACAGTCTGATTTCACTTTACAGGTACGATGGTACACATCTATAATTTTGGTTCTCTGGCATATATTTACTCCTATATACTTATTCTCCAAGTGAAAATTCTATTTGCTCTGGGGAACCACATTTACTTCTGCTTTCATCATGTGGTTTGGACAAGGCTGATCCTAGCTCTGTCCTCCCGGAAGGTGCTGGGGTGAGGAGGATGGAGGCCTGAGACCCGGGCACATCCATCAGAGCCTACTTCCTAGTGATGACAAGCTCAGGGGTGGGGATGGAGCTCAGGCTGAGGCAATGAAAGCCCTCCCTGGAACTTCCACTGATGTCACTGGAAAGATGCATCTTTAGGCTTTTCCTGCCAGGGGTGCCAGCCAGGAGTGGTGGAAACCTGCTTTGCCACCAACTGGAAGAGAGTCACTGAGAATGAAGCCAACCAAAGGGAAAGCAGAGAAGAAAGATGGAGAGTCAGATTTCTGAGCACCTGGGTCCAGTCAATAAATAAACAAATCCTTTCTCTTCCTTAAACTATTTTAAGTAACTCATGCAAATGAAAGAATCCTGAAAAAAACTGAAGTGGTCACAGAATACACATACTTTTGTATCCTGGAGAAGTTAAAGGATTATCCATTACCCCATATTTGGATCTTTAGATACCTTCCAAACTTTCATTAATATAAACAGCATAGCAATGAACATCTAAATTGTGAAGGGTTTTCTATGGTTTGGATTATGTCTATAATTTTTTAGATGATTACTGGGTAATGAGAATTATTTTTTACAGTTTTGCCAACAATCCATCGAAGTTATTGCAAATGCTTCACCCTCAGCAAAATGATTAAATTTTTTAAACAGGCAAAATAAACCAGTCTTCTGGACCAAGTAGCTATATATAAACATGGCTTTAATTAAGTTTCTCGAAATTTTATCTCTAATAATACCAGAATAAGCACTTAAAACCCTGTGAACTTATAAGTCAGGATAAAAATAATGAAATGTTTTCCAATAAGCACAAGGATCAAAGAATATAAACCACTATTTTAAAAGTTACTCTAAAAGATTTTCTTGAATATATTAAAATCTAAATGGAGTAAAATAAAAGAGAGAAATTTTGAGCTTTAATATGATGAAAAGTTACAGCAACAAGAATTATAGTCATTGTGGAAAAGCTGACATGATCCTATGTGAAAATTAAACACTCAAATTCCACTAAATATCACAGATTCTAGTCATTTCTTTATTTCCTAATGAAGTTGGTCATATATGGCCTGATCTTGATTAGGTACTTGAATAGTGAAATAAAATTACTTGACCCCAAGTTTTAAAAAAGGGAACAAGATTGAGCTGTCAACTTTGCAACAAAATTTACCTTTTATGATGATTATTCTAGTTAGCAACTAAGATGGTCTACTAACAAGAAGTGTTGCTATACATTATTTTTAAACTGTATTTTCCTGTTTCATCTCTTACTATACATCAATGTAAAGTACTTTTTCACAAATGAATTGCGAGGAAGGAAATATCTTCTTATCTTCAGTACTTCAGAAAGAATATTCGGATATGTCTAATTAGCTAAGACTCATTAAAATTGGGGATGTGCTCGGAACAAAGACCCCTTAGGAATATCCATTTGGAAGACTTCCCCCCCGCACTTCAATGAAAGCATGATAAGTGAAGAAATATCAGTAAAAAAAAGATGATGGGCTTTTTATGGGGATAAAGTAGTCTTATGTGGACAGGAAATATTTTTTATCATTCCAAGTTATGAGAATGTTCTATGGTTTGCTTAGGGATTGTCTTGAATCTAAATACAAAGTATAATAAATCCCTAATCCTTTCTTTTAAACTTATGTATTATTTTTCACCATATTTTTCTAAATGGTGGCAACTTTCTACGTGTATGTATAACTGTTCTCAAACGCTGCCACCTAAAGTTTAAAGTTGGGCACAGCCTAATAATGTCTAGAAACCAAAAAAGTACAGAACCTGAAGATTCACAGAAATCTAATCATCTTATTATATCCAAGTGTTAATTTACACATACACTTATCTACCTGAATGTTTTGAAGAGAAATATAGAAGTAAACTATTAAATATTTAATGAATATTTAATCAATGACCTTACCAAATAAAAAAGGTAAAATAATCAAGAATGACTTAAATATGCACCAAAACACTACTACTACTACTACTACTACTACCACTACTGAAAATTAAAAAGATGCTTTATGGGTCATTTTACAAATTAAAATGTTTGAAGTAGTTTTTCTGATTAAACATTTAAGATTATGATATAGCTAAATGAGACCCATTTTTGTCAATGCATTATTGGCTGGTTATAAATTGATATTTCTAATTTTGAGAAAAGGTCAGTAAAATCCATCATGCAAGCTAGTTAAAACAACCAATAAAAAGCAACCTTGGCCATACGTAAAAATACTGAACACACTTGGCCTGAAAATATTTTGCAGAAGGCAAATGCCCAGGTCAAATCCAGATGACTACGGTATATCCAGGAAAGACAATACTTAAATGTAACTGTTAACCTACCTAATGATTTTATAATGGTGCTTTTAGTAACCCACAAGAAGAATACACAATACAACACAGTATTCTTAAACTTACGCAATGTTATATGTCAATTACATCTAGATAAAAGCTGGAAAAAATTAAATTATGTAAACTTACAATTAAATTATATTAAACACAAAAGAAAATAAAGAACAAAGCAAAATAAACATTTTGCAGTGTTTATTCATTACTTCCCATAAAGATTAACATTATCTGGAAAATTCTGGCCAGCAAAAAGTTATTCTAGGAATAGACTGGAGATAATTCCCTGGAAGAAAAATAAATCATCCACCTGTTGACACCATCGAAAACCCTTTGGTATGATTATATATTTATCAAAATCTTCTTCAATACTTTCAAGTCCCAGGCACTTGCTATGAAGGCATTACATAGTGTCACCTTTAGAAATCAATAAAATATTGCTTTGGCTTTTATACCTCTCTCTTATGAATTTAGTTAAGACGGGTCTGTTTATCAAGGATTGATCATCCTTGGTAGAATGATATAGTTTGGCTTCAGAAGCCACAAAGAAGGCTCTGCAGACTCCACCAAGAAAGACACAGTTCATGGAGGGAGTCCTACACAAACAGCAGGTCACCTTTCTGTCGGATGTCTTTTTAGCTGTGATTCATCGTGTGTCTGTGTATAGTCATCTCAAGACAGGAAGGTCCTTGAAGGCAGAGACTCTCCATTTGGTTCATTCGACCTCTAAGCTCTGGTATAGTCAATACATATTTACTGATTGAATGAATAAATGCATTGTTTATATTTAAAATTAAAATGTATACAGTTGTTGATTAAATCAGATGTGAATGGAAATAAGTTTCAAATATAAAATTTTACAAATTCATATCCAAAATAACTTCCATGAAGCTTCATTCTAGCTTATGCTTTAGCACTGAATAGAAAACATTGATAAATTAATTTCAACACACAGTGTATGTACAATAACAGTGCTTGTAATTTTCTTGGGCAAACATGGTACACATTAGTAAGCTTCTCATTTGAAATTTTTTTAAAAAATTAAAACTGCTTGTCTAATAAAATATTCTCAGAAAAATTTTCACTTATTAACACCAAAATCATTTACTTGAAATAAGGTAATTTGGTTGTATTTTTTAATGTGATTAAAATAGTATCAACATAGTTAATACTTAAAATATGTTAACACTTTGGAACTCAGAAAGCAGAGACTCAAATCCCACCACCTTTCTGCTACTTCAACAAGATACTCAATTTCCTTAATCCTTAAAACGGCAATAATAATACTTGTAAACACATAGGAATGTTGTGTCAGTATAATGAAACAAAATAAAATCTGAATAAATGATAGGCATGCATCAGGAAGAGGAAAACACCTGGTAATTGACTTGAGCTCTTTCCCATAGTTATAAGTGAACATGTGCCCTTGTTGCTAGATGTGGTCCTAGGACCATGTCATCAGCTGGGGGAAACCATTTGTTTTATGTGCAATGGCTCGCTTTCAAGCTTCCCATTTAACCCTAACAAAAGTGTCAGCTGATTTAGGCAAGTATTGATAAGAAAAATATCTAAGATCCAATATTTTTTTTGTTTTGTTTTACAGTTTTGCTTTGGAAGAAAAAAGAAAGAAGCAAATAAAACATTTGTACCCACACTGATGCTTGCAGTGGGTTGTCATCAAGGCACTGCTGTCTGCATCAGGACCAGTTATCGTTAACACCCAGGCATTCACTCACAACATGAGGCATCGTGGGACCAAGCTTGCTCCTAGCATATACCTTTGCTCCACTTAATATAATATTCAGTCATCAACCTACTTTACTTATGACTCCTTAATTCAGATTTATGAACAGCAAATGTACTATGTGAATCATGATCACAAAGTCATGAGACACATTCATGGATGGACAGATTAACTGAATAATTTAATTGCAAATTCCATGAAAGTCACTAATAGTTATTTAATACATGGTCATCAATGTTAATAATTAATGGACAGTTGCTTTATTTGAATTTCAAGTATGGAATTCCACTAGGATCTGGCTCTATACATATGACTTACTAAAATATTAATACTGGCCTCCTCAATGTTCCTAAAATCATATGGTTTTTGTTTAAGGTACATAAAGAGCATTTTCTGTTTTTTTTTTTTTTTTTTTTTGGGAAACGCAGCTCCAGTCCTCGTTTCAACCCTGTCACAGCCCAAAGGGGACTGTCCCAGTGGAGACCATGGCCAACCAGAGCCAATGTGGGGGTGGGGCCGCCTCAGGGCAAGGGGGGAGTAGGGCAGTGCAGCCTCACTCCTTGAACTTCCACTCCTGGCGGCACATGGGGCAGTGCTGCTGCACCTGCTGTGCGTTGAGCCACTTGAGGATGCAGTGCATGTGGAAGCAGTGTGAGCACTGGCCCCACACCAGCGGGCAGTCGTCACCTGGCACCTTGCAGTCCGGGCAACAGCCATTGAAGGCCATCCGGCAGATGCCGCAGTTCTCGTCGTTGGCCACCCAGAGCCAAGTGGCCACGCCGTTCCAGCACTTGATCTTCACCTTCATGGCGCGGGAAGCCTAATCGCGCGCTGCCCCAACCGCCTTCAGCTGGCAGCGCCGGCGCCGCGTGGGAAGGTATGTAAACGACTGCGGCCGCAGCCCGGCAATTCTCAACGGCGCCCGCCGAGCCCCTTGGCCCAGCGCGCACGCGCCGCCTCGCTCCTTGCCGACGCCACCGACCCACAGCCAATCCCATAAAGAGCATTTTCAAGTTTGCCTAAATATGAGGCTTAACATAGTGATGCGTAGAAAGCTAATTCAGGGCATAGGGAAATTTTTATTTATTATTAACTTTCTAAGAGGCCGGGGTGTAATCCAGACTAAATGCTCCTTGAGGTGGGAATTTTAAAAGGTATATTTAAGAGTTTATGGTTAATAATTCATAATCCATAATTCATAGTTTTGAAAAATTTATAGTCATAAGAGTCAAGCTTGGAAACTTGAATGTTACCTGAAAGTGTAATAATAAATTATGAAGGTACAACATGTTATTTCCCAGAAGGTCATGTTTTAAGAAAACAGTTACAGTAGCAATACTTATGTGAATTCATACATTTTTATATTTGCCGGAAGCAGCTTTAAAAACAGAAGCATTTATTATCGGTAATATTAGCCCACCTATCAGAAAACCCCAACATTATAAACAATGTCACATGGCATAAAAAATATGCACAGGCAGCACTTCCGAAAGTCAGATCTCAGAGTCGGTACCTACTGTGATGTGTGGAATATTAGCATCCAGAGATCTTCAGTCTGGAATCACTAGATTTATACTATTTAACAACCAATATAATTTTAGAGCTTTCATTTAATATTTAGGATTTTCTGAGTTATGTTAACTAATTTGGAATGAAGAGAGAATATACGCTAAGTTTTTATAAAATAAAAAGGTCCTTCAAAACATACCGAATTACCTTTAGAGAAATGTAATGTAAGCATTTTGAATATTTAATACACTTCCTGAGTATAATGAAGTTATCATTCCTTCATACTCCCCTCACTAAGAATGAGCATTTTATTAATATTTCTTCTTTGGTGAAGAAACTTGGATCTTGTAAGATCTTGTACTTTTCACTGTTGGAATTCAGTCAATAATCTAAGGTTGAATCTTACACATTTTTACTTCAATGTTATTGAAAGCAGCAATTGAAGTCATTGGTATATCACAACACTTCCCTCAGGGCACACAGAACCTTGTCCCCCTGCCCCGCTTTCTCAACTTTCCTAATTTAATCCTTACTGCTGATGCAATGACTCCTGTTTTACCACTGGCACTTACAGCACCCACATCTGTTATCCTAAATGTTGCCCCAGTTATTTCTTCTCCAGGGATTAATGGCATTACATCCAGTGGATTTTCATTAGCCTTCAGAGAGAAAAATACATGAAATATAGCTGTAATCCAAACTACAATCTTACAAAGGGTAGCCAAACCTAAAACCAGAAATGATTAGAAATGATTCACCTGCAGTTTAGAAATGATTTTCATCCATTTTCTTTGCTGAGCCTGATTCAGAATTACACAAAGCTAATGCATTTACCATACTACATTTTTTTTAAAAGACTTTTTGATGCAGACCATTTTTAAAGGCTTTATTGAATTTGTTACAGTATTGCTTCTGTTTTATGTTTTTTTGGTTTTTTGGCCGCGAGGCATGTGGGATCTTAGCTCCCCGACCAGGGATCGAACCCACACCCCGTGCATTGGAAAGTGAAGTCTTAACCACTGGACATCCAGGGAGGTCCCAATCATACTATATATTTATGCTACATATTTTAACACATCTTGAAGGATTTGTCACAATTTTAGTCATTGCAAACTCTTCATTTATAAGTGGCTAGCTCAGTTCTTTTGATTTCTAGCAATGCCGTTTTCCAAAAATCAGCATGTCTTCCAGGAGCTAAGGACATAGAGAAACACATGTAGTTGTGGGTTTGTGGAAACTGGAGAAGGATCAGTATGTAGCCATTAGGTAAGTGCATTTATGAGTTCAAACACCCAAATATTCAATACATTTCTCTCCTAAACTCCTGTTCTTTAGGAATATATATATATATAATATTTATAAGTATTTATTTATATTTACATATATTTTGTGTTTGTGTGTGTGAAATGATCCTAGAATGTTTGAGCTTCTTCAAACCAACAATAAAATACATTAAAATTCTAATTATGGTCCTAGAACTTGTCAAAGTACCTCCAAATGGGTCACCAATACAGAACCACTGTGTCTTTTCTGTTCAGAGCAGCTAAGCACGAGGAAGCCCTTTTGAACTTATATTCCAGGTTACACTTAAGAGTAAATATAGCCACATAAACCGTAACTTGATTACAGTTTTTATGGGTTCGTTATTGCAAGAAGTAGATCCTTAATTCAATGATAAGGTAAAATAAATCCCAGGATTAATAAAGAACTCATTCTCAAAAGCATTTGACCAATATTTTTGATGTATATTACATACCAAAGAGTAAACACTGACAAAGCCTAATTTAGAGACTTTAAACATTCTATATAGGAGAATTAAAGAAAAATGAAGCTTAAAAAATATGACAGACTTTCAATCCAACAAGTTGATTGTTCTATTTCTTGTTTTCTCTTCTCATATATTTCTTTTTAAAAAATCCCTTTCCTAGTTGTTTCTTCTGTTCAAATCATACCTTCCCAACAATTGTTTTCACCTTCTCCATACTTTCTTTCTTTCTTCCTATCAGTAGCAACTTAGCTATTGCATTATTTAAAATAAATAACAGGTTGCTAAGTCAGTACACAGTAGCTCTACAGGCAAACAAAGGCTATTTAAGGCTGGTATACACTTATCTTCAAAAAGCCTCTCATTTCCTGCAACCTGACAGGAATCATTGGCTGCTACAAATTCTGTAAATATTGCCTTAACTGAATTATAGTAAGCTTTCTAACTGCTATCCAAGTGTCAGAGCCTCACACATATGGATATTTATACCTTTTTTTAAAACTACTGTTTTATTGGAGTCTAGTTAATTTAGAACATTGTGTTAGTTTCAGGTGTACAGCACAGTGATTCAGTTATATATGTATATGTATATACATGTATATACATATATATATATCTATTCTTTTTCAGATTCTTTTCCATTATAGGTTATTACCAGACATTGAATATAGTTTCCTGTGCTATATGGTAGGTCCTTATTGTTAATCTATTTTACACATAGTAGTGTGTATATGTTAATATCCAATTCATAATTTATCTCCCTTTATTTATACACCTTTTATTTATATGAAAAATACAGCAAGAGAAAGTTAATTTATAAAATGTAATTGAAATCATAAAATTAGTTATAATCATTGAAAATAATTATATTTGTTATATAAAATCTTGGCACAAGTTTAAGTATCAGAGTTGATCTTAGGAAGACACAGATCCTGTCTAAAGAAGAAATAGATTAACTCTAGTGAAATACTATTTACTCCATAAAAAGGTTCTCTCTTGCTTTTTAGGTAGATTTTAGGGTGATTAAAACAAATTTAATTTGACAAGAGGGTAATGGGGGGTCCCACATTTTGATGAGTATGACATATGTCTAATAGATATCTGTTGAAGACAAAATTTTTCCTTCATGGATGACACCTCAATGTTTTCACCTGTGAAAGATGGGCTAGATCAGGGGTCAAAACCTCAAGTATCTTTGGAGGTTATGCAGGTACTAAGTTGTGAAATGTACTGTTTGCAAGGCCATGGGGATGAGGGGGGTCTGTGGAAACTTGGAAGAGACACACCCCTCTACAGGGCTCAGTTGTAGACTCAGCTTCACCTGATGGCCAGACAAGCCCAGTATATTTTCAAGCTGATTTCGATTTTTCAAAATAAGCTGAGAATCAAGATGACTCTGTGAAATTTCCAAATATTTAAAATATTAAGGAGGCCAAGCACAACTGTGGTTGAAAGCTGCCTATGAGTCACCATTTGTTTTTTTCCAGAGCCAGTGCCCTAAAACTCCCCTACAATACCCATATGGCAGTGTGTTTAGTGGTCATTTCTCATGGGAAACTCAAGGCAATGATGTCACTGGTTTTGGACATACTGTGAAAATCCTGTGGCTACTATATCAAGAAAGATGAGTTTGTCTTACACTGCACAAGAATATTGTTGCTTTCGAAAGCCCTGTGTGTGTGTGTGTCTGTGTGTGTGTGTGTGTATCCCTTACATAAATTTGGATTTTAAAATAGCTCTTTATGATTTTCCTTATGTGAGAGTGATTTCAGAACTCTAAACTAATTGAAAACTTAGATACTTTTTCTTATTTTCTTTATATTGGGAATATTACTTTTGCTTTTACATTGTATTCATAAATGGAATGATCTAGCTGACTTGACTATACAAATATTGTTTACTAAGTTTTACTGTCAGCTATTATTCTTTGCATCATAAACGCTCAATTTGATCTTTGATTTTCCTGCATGATTTCTCTCCTTGTTTCCAGTCTAGAAAATTTAAGCTTCTATAGATATAATTATCAACCTAAATTTGAAACATGCATATGGCATACTCAAAACAACTAAAGATATTCCTTAAATTTTTTATTGCAGAAAAATCTCTCTGAAATCTCTCTGTGGTTTTAGTCATAGTTAAAATTATAAGTATATAAAGAACTATGTATGTCAACTATAAGCTATTCACATTTCTGAAAGGACTATGAATTTGGGGTTGTTTTTCCTATTCCTATATTTAGCAAGTGAACGATAGATGGAATTAGTAATTGCAATGATAAATGCATAATAATTGAAATGCAAGCATCTTGTAATTAGTTTCTCTCTGATGAACTTTAGCTTCCGGTTGACTGCTGAGAAGGATAAAATCTTTGAGGTTAAACACATTAGTTTCGTTGGTATCTTCTGCAAAGGATTCATTTTGCTTTGAGAGGCATCAGCAAAACCAAAGCATAAAGTTTTAGAGCTGGATGGGATGCTGAGATGAAGTTCACACAAACACACACACACACACACACACACACACACACACACCACTATCTGCCAGTCTTGTCTCCAGAGTTATATTCAGTGTATAAAATACTTCTCGTTACTAGCCTTCCAGGAGTTTGTATTATTGGAT